CTTATGATCTATCAAATTTGTAATTTTCTTTAGTGATTTTGAGTATTTATCTTAAAATTAAAGTTTCTTGGTTCTTTGCTTTTGGTGTAAATCGAATACATTTGTTGAGTCGTTTAATATGTTGGATTTTAAACTGTCATACAATTTTTTTCATCGATAGTCTGTAATTGGAACCATAACTTTTATTTATTCAAATTGTATTAATATGTAAAGACCGAGTGTAACCTATATCATCGTTAAATCTTATCTTATAAGACCAATGGAACTTCAAAATCGTTAAAATTCATGACTCCCAGCACATTACACGAGTACACAACTAGTAATTAAAAGACCAATAGGCGAAGACACGGTGAATATTGTTGATATAATTGATGTTAGTTCGAAAAAACTCGATTTGTATAAAGGAAAAAAATTATGTTTTGTTCGGTTTGAAAGATTTTTATCAATTGACGAAGACACGGTGAATATTGTTGCAACAACAACGGTTGTAGAAGTAGAGGCATTGGTGATAAGTGGACGATGGTGGCTGTAGAGTACATGAAGATTGTAGATAGTGGTGGTGGTAGCTATTGACAATGGTGGAGGTAGTGGTAGTAGTGGGCAGTCGTGGTGGTAGCGGATGGTGGTGGTGGTGGTTGTCGGTGGCAGACAGTGGTTGTGGAGGACGTGAAGATGGTAGATGGTAGCGGTAGTGGTCGATAGTTATGGAGGAGGAGGTAGTTGTAACTGATGTGACGGAGGTAGTGGTGGTGGTGGGCAACGATAGTGGCAGCCGATGATGGTGGAGGTGGTAATGGCCGAAGGCACTAATGGTGGTGATGGGCGGCGGTGGTGGTTGGTGACTAACGGTGGCTGTGGAGATGGTGGAATAGGTTGTTGTAGTAGAGAATGAGGCGGAGGTGACCAACGATGGTGGTGGTGGTGGTGGCGGTGGCGATGGACGGTTGTAATCAATGGTCAACTGTGATGACCACTAAAACAAATACCATATTAAGATTATATATCAAACGAGATTAGTAATATTTTAGTTTTTGTCTCATCTTGTTCCACCTATTTTGATGGAACAAGAAAAACTGTTTTTGTCCCACGACGTCCTGGCTCTTGTCTTTGTCCCTTGTCACACCAAACGTGGGACAATGATTTATTGTCGTGTCTGTCGTACCAAACATGGGATAGTGATTTTTGTCTCGTTCTGCCATGTCGCATGTACCAAACACAACCTAAAAAACATAGTGGAAAAAAGGCCAAATTTATATACTTGAAACAGTTGAAAGAGAACATAATCAGAGATGGGCACATGCTATGTACTCATCAGCAGTATTCCAACCAAATACATACACAAGAAGCCTTGCTGCATAAAAGACACCCTAAAATGGCCTGGCAGCTTCTTCCATCATCTTCTTTACCCTCATAAGTTTTTCTAATTCCGATAACACCTGCAAAAACCACCAAAATTTGTAGAGGTCAGGACTGCATACATCTCATCCTTCCCAAACCCTGCTTTCGAGCAAGATATAATGGGTTTGTTTGGTTTAGGGGTATGTATAGTTTTTCACCTCCAAGCCCATGTCTCCCGTGCTAACAGTTCCTATATCATCGTAACCCAACTGACCAGCAACTTCTGCTAACACGAACAGAACTTTTTAGATCGACTGATGGTATAAAAAAGGAAATAGTTTTGTGGGGACATACTCTGGAGGGAAATGGTTGCATCTGCTACTGCATATCCTCCTTGCAATTCCTCGTATAGCATGGCTAGCCGACTTCGCACCTGCTTATCGTTCATAAAATGGTAAATCGGTTAGCTAATATTCCATCAGCTACTTACTTTTTAAACTTATTGAAAAAACCGGCTGATAAGCTAGCTTTTTGAACTGCTACTTCAAATAACATTTCAATAAGCTCGAGGTCTTTTTTTCCATTTATGCCCCTTATTTTTTTACAATTAATTTTTCAACATATCTTTTAAGGTCATTTTATACTGTCATGATTTATCAACTAGTTTTTACTAAACATGACTATTTTGTGAGCTAACTTTTCAGTCAATAAGTTAACTTATCAGCTAATTTGCCAAACATAGCTTTAAGCATCCACTGAAACTTAAGGCCTACCTCAGAATGAGATGCAGACGATGAAATCTCTGATCCAATAAATCGAGCCCCATCTTCGACTATTTCCTTGGCTACCATATCCAAAGGAACATCTACCCAGATCGAGATACCATGTCTCAAAAGTGACCTGTAAGATGCTTCCTTTCAGTTAAATGGGTTATGAAGAAGAGAAATGTAACTTTGGACAACCTTAGCTTTTAGCACCGACAGAAACACATACAAATTACCTCCGTGGAGGTCAAGGGTTCAAGCCTCACCAAAAATGAAGAGTGTGTGAGTTTTGCCATATATAAATATCATCATTCTTAAGAAAAACACATACAAGTTGGTTGAGTTCCGAACAGCCCCATCTCCGGCAGAAACAACCAGGCGCCCCATTGACGATAATTGCCTCAACACTTCAGTCTGTAAGTTGCTCAATCTGTTACCCAAGACTTCGTGTATAGGGAACAAAAGGTAATGTATTTCCCTATAATGTGTCCAATATCGGGCATTTGGAAAACTGGAAAGCTCGACACTTTAGAGAGAAAGAGAAAGGAGAATGACAAAAATACCTCTGATTCACGGAATCCAACTTCATCCACGTCTAGAAGTTCTTTTGCTGCAGCTTCACCACCAGCGGCTTGCACAACCAAATGATCACTGCATTTGAGCTACCGTGTCTTTAGAATAATCACTCTTCTTCGAGTATAAACTAAAATTGAGAAAAAAAGGTTACCTATCGAAATAGCAATATCGGAGCGCATCTGCCAGAAGTTCCCCCAATCTTGTTTTCATAGTGCTGTTCATACCTATTTTTTTATCAATAGAAAGAAGATGCTTATTCATACACACAGATTTCAGCAACAGGATCTGGAAAACTAGAACTTACCAACAAGATATATGGAAGTTCCTTTCAATCCAGGGGATATATCTATTGCCTTCTTCTGAATATAGAACCCAAACAGTTGAGAATAATATCTTATGAACAAGGGAATTTTTTATGAAAATGATTCGATTCCTATATTGTGTAACGTACTTTGAGAACCTTCATTTTGGCACCTCAAATGTGACATCTGTACTATTTAGGTACATGGCTTACATCTCAGAACATGAAAACGCAACGTACTTTGATCCGATTCATATTTTATATAACGTAGGTCTAAATGTTCAAAAATGAAGTTTTGGACAGTACATGGCACAAAATAGGAATTGGCATCAAAGAAAGTTGCATATTCATGCAATTTGCCTTATCAACAACAATAAATTGAATAATGTTATGTTTTCTATCACTATTTATCCATTTTCTATCAAAATCATAGAAAAGCGTTGAACTTATCCTAAGTGCTTAGTTATAATCATTCATATTGAAGATGATTTCAAAATTTCAAGTCATGTGGGATAGGGAAATCACCTTGACAGCTAACATGGGATCAATCTCCAAAGCTTTAACTGCAGAACCTTCATTACAAGAAGATGTAAAGGGTAAAACAAACACATATGATGTTAAATGTTAAACAAAGCTTTTAATGTTGGGTGTAACAGTTCTAGAAGCCAAGAACACATGAAAGAAATACTCCCCCTTCTGCAAATACATAAATTATTCATTTTTAAACAAGAACCCTAGTTAAATTAAACTATCTTAAGCCACTGACACTGAATAGCAGTATTCTTTATCTGCTAATTTCTGATTGTGCAGTTGAAAAGTAGCAAGTATAACTTAAATGAAGAAATCTAATCAAACACTTGGCGTGCAGAACAGCCGTTAGCAATCTAATAACAATAAAAACACCCAATTGTTACAAGAATCAAAGGAGTGTTGGGTCACCTGAGACACCATCGTCGAGAAGGGAGCAGGAGGCGGCGAGGAGTCTGCGAGGAGTAGTGTTAATGGAGGTTGGAGAGAGTGATGTAATTCCATTGCGAGTGGTGATAGGGGAAGAAAAATGGAAGGGTTTTAAGAAACTGGAAGCTGTTTGGATGATCTTCATTATTTCCACCTCCAATCCACAAGGACTCCACTGGTTTCAGCTTTTGCCGTTGGTCCAAATCCAACCCTTAAAATTCAATTCAACGCCCTGCAAAATATATATTATTTTTTTTATTAACCGGATATTCAACCTTACATGTTAGTCGACTAATCTTGAGACGACCACCTATTTTACGGGTATCTTGGAGTCGTCGCATTTGAACCTCCATAGACACAAGAGGATTTTTATTCCTCTTTGGATTTGAACTTGGGACCTCCAGGCACTTTTAACCCCAAGTTCAAACCAATCAAACACCATCCTTATGGTTTTCAGATTTTTTACGTTTGGTTTTTATTAACCACAGGCATCCAAGAAAACAGCTTGTAAACACCTTGATTGATCCTAAATATCGTAAAAACAGCTAAGATAATTTTCGGTTACCTTTTAAAACTCGAACGATGATCTCTAAGAAAGATACTCGTAATCTAAGCAATAAGTTGGGGTGTTTATTGTTACTTTTCGTTTTATGTTTTGATCTTTTGTAACTGGGGTAAAATAAACCAAACCAAACGTGATTAATATGTATTATTCATAAATAAGGTTGGAAAAGAATAAGGGTATGTTTGTTTTTTCCAAATTACCTCTTAATATCTCTGAAGTCTGATTCGTTCAAATGTTTGGGTATTAGGAACGTTTGTTTTATTTCTACAGTAAGAGCTTAAAAGCTCTAAATGTCCTCTGAAATTTGAAGTGGTAAACATAGCTTAATCATAATCTGTCTTCTATCAAATGGTTCATATTTTGAGGGTTAGAAGAGATTTGTTAGCAAAAACTATTTATCTTTTATACTTTTACATTAGTTTGACCGATTCAGGTTTCAGACTTCAAACATAAAAACAAACAATCTTACTGATCCAAATTTCAGACTTCAGGACCACCTCTTATAAATCAGGAGTGAAATCAGATTTCAGACTTCATTATCTCTTAAAAAACAAACGCCACCTAAGATATATTAAAATCTTGTTAAACCTCTAGAATTTGGGTATGCAATGCATCAATGAAAATAGGCTTTGGTATAATCTTGGATCCTAAAATAGTCTAGCCAATACGTGAAATTTCGTGATACCTAAACACGAACACTTAACATAGACACTAAAGACCACGTAGACATTGGAGTTGAACACGACTTAGTGACCACTTCTTAACCCACCCCCGTCATACAGTGACACCTCACGACTCCAGGGTCGAGTTAGCTTATTTGCACTCCGCATCTTGTAACATGTATTATAGCTTAACCAAAACCCCTTTACACCAAATGATCTGAAAACAAATCTTCCGTCTACAGGGGTACGAACCCAGCCTTTCCCCCGAAAACAAGATTTACGCAGCAGTTCTAATGCCATGCCCGGGGGGATAAGAAAGAAATTCAGAAATTAACAACCACAAGAGAAATTGACCATCCAACCTACAAAAATATGTTAAACTTCACCACAATTCAGCTTCCACCTGCATCCACAGAATCATGAATACATAGAAAATGCCTGATTCAATCAAGCTCTGCTGCAAAATGAAGAATGAATCAGACTAATCAAGTTGTGCTGCAAAATGCAGAATGAATCAGACCAATCAAGCTCTGCTGCAATATGAAGAACGAATCAGACCATTTTAAGCTCTGCTGCAATATGAAGAACGAATCAGACCATTCAAGCTCTGCTGCAAAATTGACTCCCTTGAGTAGATGCATCGATATTATGTGACATTAATGGCTCTCTCCATGTCTTAGAAAACACAAATAACAAACAAGAGCTTGTTGATGAGCATGCACATTGCACAGTCATAAGAAAGTAATAACAACCATATATCGTAGGATAAAAAAAACTAAACTCCAAAAGCTGTATATTCCATGTTCACAAAACATGTTTAAGAATTAGACAGCAACAATGACTCTCTACACTTGCGCCACTAGATGGTTCAGCATGTATTAACAATTTTATCAAAAACACATGTAATGCACTGGTTTTCTTTTATAATCACATACCCAATATTTTATGATATCTACAAATAGTGGTTATGCGGTTGCTTTTTTGCAATCAAAATGCAGTCAATATTGCCGCTAATTGTGGGGCCGCTATTTGTTCTGACCGCTAACTGCATAGCACCACTATAGCAGTGCGATTAACAGCATAGTCAGACTTTAACATTAATTAAATAAATACCCTAAATTCCTTGATTATCAAGAAACCAGAAACGTTTAAGAGAAACTAAAAATAAAAAAACAGAAAGTGTAAAAACTAAGGGGTTACGGTATCTGATCGGATTCATAAATCTGACGATTAAGATTGGACATCGAGATTTGATCGGATCAATTTTAATAACTTCATTCATTTATTGTCAAATTCATATATTACTAAAATTTACAAGCGTTGCAAATTAACTTACCCCTATATAATAGTCTCAACGAGTTTTGTCTCGTCCTATCCTATCATGTCCGTTATATCAAACGCATATTTGAAAAGATTTATGCAGAAATCTAAGTTTTTTTAAACCTGTCATTTTCAATTAAAAAACATGTTTCTTTCATTTATAAAAAGAATGAACCGAATATACACAAGATATATTCAATACAAAAAGATTTAAAAAAAGCGAAGACGTCAAAAGAATTAGTTTGTTTACAGTGTCGTAATTTAAATAATTTTTATTTCTTACGGTTGATTATTTTACGATGAAATGAAAATTTTGAGATAATTTGTAAATAATTGTCCACTTTATTCTTTTATATACGTATTTGAATTATAATTTCTTAAACCCAAACCGAACCGGATTTAGTCCTACATGGTCAATGATCGGTTAAGGCTCGTCCCGACCTTTTGTTTTTGCTAAAACGGACCGGTTCTTTTAGTACTAACCAAGACACGGTTCTTGTATATCCCTATGTATAACACTAAGGGATGGGATGTCACAGAGAAGACAGATTGAAAGTAGACATTGACACAGAAAAAATGAACAAAAGTTAAACGCAACGGCTTCGGTGTCTGCTCCTTTAACCCCCGCCATACAGCGACATCTAACGACTTTGGATTCAAGTTAACTTATACAAGTGTGGACTTAACTTGTACGAGGACTTCGCATCTCCTAACTCATATTATAACTTAATCGAAATCCTTTCAAGGGCCGTTCACTAAACGCTTATGCAGTAAGTGTTTACTGAGTCACTTTACCTTATTAAATGAACATGATAAACATTGAAAATCTTACCCGGTAAGAACGATAACAAGTACAGGGAGTCATCTAAAAAAAGAAAATCTTCCCCGATAACCACTTACCGAATACAAGACTCTTACCAGCAAGGTAAGTGTGGGTAATTTCTTTTACGGGTAAACGGTTATCCGATAAGCGTCTGGTAAACAGCCCCTCAGTGTCTTCTTGTAAGTCCAATTACACACCAAATGACCTGATGACACTAAAAACTGTATGTTTACAAGAAAGAAAATGCAAAAATATCTATGATGTTGTATTAACCAAGACAACCGCAAAAGATGTCATTATATTTACAAACTTGTCCGCCCAAAACCAACACAAAGAAGAAACTGTATAAATTGACCATTCAACCTAAAAATATGTTCAACTTCAACACAATTCAGCTTCCACCTGCATCCATTCAGTCAAAACATGAATACATGAAGAAAAAAAATGTCTTTTTCAATTAGGGATGCTTTTACGGAGTTTAGCAAAACTGACTCCATTAATGATCTTTTAGAGGCCGTTTACCACATGCTTACTTACTATTACCTTACCGGGTAAGCATGGCAAGGACCAAGAATTTCACCCAGTAAGTGTGGAAGAATACTCTTACCCAGTAAATGCTTGCCGACAAACCATTTTGATGACGAAGAATGTTACCTGTAAGGTGAGTAAGGATGGTGACTCTTACTCGGTAATCGCTTACTAGTAAGATTCAAAACTAGCAATTGCCTTGCCGGGTAAGATTTTAATCCATCAAAACGACATCATATGCAGCAATTTATCGGGTGAGCACTAACCGGGTAAGAATTGTCACCATCACTTACCGGGTATGACTCTCGGTCTTTATCATCGCTCTTACCGGGTAAGATCGTTGGTCCTTGCTATGTTTATCGGTAAAGTAATGTGGCATGGTAAGTGCTTACCGGGTAAGCATTTAGATATGCAAAACTTGTAAAAAGTTGTTTCAGATTATTGATATTTGAAAATAAATGTAAAATTGCTTAACCATTAATAAGATGATTGTTTTGGTCTGATTCTTGAAATCGGAATAATCAATTTACAAACGCACATCCAAACACCCAGTAACGGATAAAACTTGTCATAAGTAGCAAATAGGGTATTGAAGTACCTTAGATGTGGCCTGTAGACTTCCTGTTTGAAAGCAAAATGGGTGAGAGCGGAGGAGAAGATACTTCCTCTCGTTTGCCAACTGTAATTTGCGGGGACTCGATACGTTTTGGAACCATGGCACTCGGGTTGCTAGAATGTATGGAAAAACTTCTAGGAACAACCAAAGGAGGAGGTGGAAGAGGAGATGCAGCAGCAGCAGCAGCAGAAGGGGTTTTATTTATGTCTTGATTCTTGAAAAAAGAAGGGGCTGAGGCACCACCAGGAGAAACACCTGGCTTGGAGAAGGATAAACTACTGGGAGGCCTAGGAAGTTCATGAAGCTCATTTATCTTGGGTGACGATAGAGGCTGAGGTGAAACGCTACGACGCATCAGAGGAAGTTCCGTAGACGAAACCGGACCGTTAGTGGGTGCAATCTTACCGGAGAACGGCTTAGTTGGCGGCAATGGACCCGAGTAAGCTTGTCTTTTGTCTACTTTACTATCAAATGCACTATGGGTATCCCTACGAAATCTTTCGCCAGAAGGAGAAGGTAACTGGATGGATGGATTGATGCCATTACTGTTCTTTATTGAAGATCGGGGCTTTGAGGTAGAAGTGGGTGTCGAGGTGTTATTGTTACCAAAATCTCTTTCTTGTTTCTCATGGTCCACCGGTAACGGTGGCTGTATATTATGGAATGGATTGGTCTGAGTAACAGATGTAGGTGTTCTTGAGACTGGACTTTTGGTATCGACCGGAGGGGGTAGCACGTAAGAATAAACTTTCCGCCGTGTTTCCCTAGGCCTTTCAGATGAGTCAACGAAGTCTGGGTATAATGGTGCAGAATAACTGGTAGGATTTTGAGTTTGCCTACCAAAAACCTGCTCCCTTTGATGTTTATAATGATTTATCTGCAGAATACAGTTGCTATATTTTAGAATATTGGCCACAACCATTTCACAGCTTTGGATGACTAATGCAAATTTAATACGTGTAACACGGAAAATGAATGTTCACTGTTGCCATACCTCTCGATCTTCCAACTTAGGGACTTCAGAATCTGGTATATCTAGTGGGTCTACCTGCAATATACAACTCATTAAAATACAATTCATACATGCTATAAGGACAGCATAATTTAGTTAAACCTGCCATGAGTAAACCAATCAAACCAGAAAAAAATATCATCAGATACTCGTTTCATCTTTGGTGCAGTTTAATAATTGTTGCATCATTAGTTGATCAGCCTTACACTTGGGTGTTATTTCATATGGAAGTTGATCAATGGTCTTATTATCTATACAGTTATACAACAACAACAAAATCTGAATTACCATACCGACTTCTAAAAGCATGGATCGCTGGGCCCCATATCACTAAATCATATGAAAATCTAGAGGCATGCTTAGATTTCCTACTCTCTTTTCCTAGGAATTGTTCAGTTTTTTTTCCATACCAACAGAAACTCATTAACCAACGCCACGTATTATATAACTACTTATGGTGGCAATCATCATCCCAAAACGGCTAGACAGTTTTCATATGTGTCAACTTCATAAGATAAGTGTGGATATCAAATTCAAATTTCTGATAGTTTCCAATGCCAAGGTAAGTTTTTAATAATCTTAAAACTCAACGAAATAAATCTAGACAATCATAATTAAACCGAAGGCCATTACTACATTTAGGAGTTATAACCACTCATACCATGCACAAAGGTGTAGCTGAAGCACATTGAGCAAAGGGTCATTTGCCTAGTGGTACCAGGGACCAGCCTACCAAGAGGTCATGGGTTCAAACCTCACCAAGTATTTGCCGCACATATATATATATGTATATACACACACACACTTCAAGAAAGGAAGATTACCTCCATTTGATTTGATAATGTGCCAAAATTATCAAGCCCTTGCTTCTTTTGGCCATAGTCAAAACTCAACCCCGCTTCATCGATGCTGTCATAGATGTTTATTCCTTCACTCTGCCCAGCATTCCCATTGTCAAGTTTACTGAGTTGGTATTCAATCCGGTGCTTCTCTGCAACAATTCTTATGACAGGGTCAACTGCTTCAAGAACTTTAAATCCCTTGCGGAAGAAATCCAACTGCTCCAGGGAGTAGAGAGGAAAACAAAAATAAAATTCATGTCCACCTCACAAGAAGGATCAAGATAATTACATATAAACCGGCCACATTAATAAATTGAAAGAAGTGGCACCTGTGCTGCATGATGGCGAGTAGCCTGTGTCAAAAGACTACGACATTGCCCCTCCTTGAGTGATTTTACCCTGAATGCACATAGTCTAGCCAGTGTGTTATATTCATCTTGAGCTTCTTCTAGTTTGTGAGCAATCTCGGCCTTTCCACTTCTCAACTTCCCCTTCTCTTTGTTTTGTGAAACCATGTATTCGTATGCCTCTCTAAAATTAACATATGCAGTCAACATTAACATATGCAGTCAACAAACTTCAACTTCAATGACAATAATTTGAACGGAATGAAAAATAATTCATACCTTTTTTCATCACATTGAAGTTTCATCTCCTGCATCAGTAATAGAGAAAACAAGATAAGTGCCTCATCTTGCTGCGGATGCAAGGATAGTGACAGTTGACAAAAGATATGCAATAGTTATATTACTTCCTTCTTAGGCAATGTGGTTCAAGGAAAAGTAGGGAAAGAAAGAGGAGTAGAGAAAGAGTTTCATGCCAATTTTGAATCATATAAGAGAAGAACAGAAGAGGCTTCTTAAAAAAGCAAAGAAGATTTAATATGATATGGATATTACGAAAATTTTGTTTGCACTCTTCTCCTTATTTTCCTAGATTCCTCTAAAGGCCAGAGTCATTTTACCATCCATGACAAGTCTGAGCACTTGGCCTAACAAGTTCTCAGTGCAATTCCCTTGCTTTTATAATCATAAGTTGCTTACTTAAAGCCAATCTAGAGGTTTTATAGGTCGGTCACATTCAAAAAAAGAGAGGCTTAACTTGGTATGGATGCTGAGACTTGTTTTTGACAAAATCATTAGAGCATCTCCAAAAGATTCCCCAAATTTTCTCCAAAATGGAGAACCGAAAGCCAAAATCTCCAAAAACAATTACATTCATCTCCAACAGATTCCCCATTGTGAAAAATCCAACATTGATTATAATATTAAAATATTTCATTCATCTATTAAAATATTATTTCCCTCTCTAAATATTTATTTCCAAAGTTTCCTATTGGTGCACTCACTTGGTAATCATTTTTGGGGTGATCTCCATAATTGGAGAAAAAACTCTTCTCTCTCCTACTTTCTCCATTTTGGAGATGGTTTTGGGGAAGCTGTTGGAGCAAAATATTGGCTCAAAATCCCCATTTGCTCCAATTTCGCCATTTTGGAGAAGCTGTTGGAGATGCTCTTAGGAGTAGCAGCAAAGTGAATCTCGAACTGCTCACAAACATCTGATCAAATGATATTGCATGCTTCGAAGCATATATGGCAATATATTTAGATTAAAAATGTTAAAACTCATGACTCAAGCTCAAACATGAAATTCCTTACATGAATGATATATTTACAACCTGCCAAGTGGTAACCACTGACCTTAAAAATCAGTAATACACTCCCCTTGACATAAATCAGTACTTAATTCATCGTCTAAGACAGCATTTACTACATCACTTGTGTAAAGCGAACAACACATGTCGTGGTTGACAGTCCCACACCCACATACCTCTTTCCCTTACTCAGTAATACACTCCCCTTGACATAAATCAGTACTTAATTCATCGTCTAAGACAGCATTTACTACATCACTTGTGTAAAGCGAACAACACATGTCGTGGTTGACAGTCCCACACCCACATACAGCTTAGATAAAGAGACTTCAACTCATGCAATGATGGACCTGCGTAATCATGGCTCTAGCAAAAAATCTGCCTCTACACATGCCCATGTAGACACAGAGAGTGTGAATAGCATGGTAAGAAGATCTTATTGGTAATACACTAAGTGTTAAAGATTATGACCCTAAGAACTTCATTCAACATAGCTTTTCCATGTAAATGATGGATTCTAATCAACCTGAAAACTTGATTCAGCTACAGACACGTTTACAAAAGTTAGGCAGCGTTGGGATGGGTTGGGTTTAACCTTCTAGCACCATACGATAATTGTCGTTATATGTTCATATTACCGACTCTGACTAGGTAAAGGTGGGTTCTGTTCCTTCACAATACTCTCACAGGGATTGAATGGTAACTATATTAAGTAAACAAAACCAAACAAATCCAAATATCCGATATGGATAGACTGAATAACCCGGGATTTCTGCCTGATTTAGCCTTCCTTCGGGACGAATACAAGGACCCGAAAAAGCAATTCCCACGCGCGTATACCTTTACGGTACATGTTCAGTTTGTCTACTGTTGCCTGGGATACTAGGCACCGTACTGTTGTTTCGGTCGGAGCTTAAGCTTAGGATCTTATACTTGAAGGCCTTCTATCCGCTACTAAGACCTGCTCCTTTCCTTGTATAAGGAAACAACTCAGGTGACATTGAACCCTCGAATATGTTCGAAAATGATCTTCCAGTTCCGGGGAGAATTCGCAAAACAGGTTTTTTCGGGCGTTTTCTAGAATCAGAAGGAAGCGCTATAATGACCACAAGTGGCCATAGTAGGGTTCCCGGGGGTTTATGCAAACCTAACCTCTCTCTCAAGAGAAAGAGAGGCTGTTTCTGAGAAGACCCATGGTTTGCAAAAGAGCTAAGTAAAGCAAATAGAAAGCACACTGTAAGTCACAGAGGATGCTAGGATCTCTTAAGCATCACACCCATTATAGCCAAATTTCAATTATCAAATAATCAATTTTGGGGATTATAGTCGACATATATAGTGTTAACAATAAATATACGTGTTAAAATGAAACTGCTACCCATCATAAAGATTACCAGAATAAATGACACATAAATATAAACAATTACCATAAATAATAATTTGGAAAAAATCCTGAAAATTACCATAACCGTAATTATAAAAATCAGTAGTTATCCTAATAATCATCAGAAAATTGTTCAGATGCTGATCCTAATAATAACTGGATCAAAATAGATGATGACGAACCACTATTTGCCATAATATAGTGATCATCAACAAAAGCTAAAAAGGTTCACTATGATTGTCACTTGAACTAATCAGTTGTTCATTTGTTTATGATTGGTCAATTGCTAAAGTCTGTGCATTTTCTTTATTAAATTAAGATTTTCTAATCTAATTATCTCATTTTAAGATAGATTTATTATCATGTATTCTTATTAAATTTCTATGGTTCGATTTGACAAAGCACATACGGACACAAGAAGGGATTTTTTGTGTTGGCACCATGCGTATGAGCCATGACTAATATGGTTATATGGGCATACATTGCAAAAATTCTGTGCATATCACTGTAAATGGTTTATTAGTCACATGTAAGAACTATTAGGTATAAGTTAATTTAAGTCTGTGAATGTAATATTTACGGAATATTCCAAATTAGGGTTTCTAGATTTTTGTCCACTGCCCTAAATATATTCTGCATATTCTCGCTCATGTCTTAATAAGAACTCAAGCTTTCCGAGTAATACACACCTGTCTTCATGGTATTGAATCCCTAAAACTCACGATACAAACCCAAATCAGCCAATTTTTATCTTCTTGTCTGGTCACAGTAATTGTAGCTTAATTAATTTACAACATATATTGATGAGCAATCCAAAGTTCCATCTCTTTGTTTACCCAAATCTTGCATTGAGATTGTCTCTATTTTTGCAAGATTTTGTGTTCATATTCAAAATCAATTTGGTGTAAAACCTAAAGCTCTTTGCATTGATAGCACGAAGAGCATCTTCCAAATGAAGTAACTATGTCAAGTGATAACCAAAATTTATAGAAAATAAACTAGTTAACCATAAGAAAATTCAGAAAGACAAACCTCCACTTTCCGCAGCTCAGAGAGCAGAGACTCTGATGGATTTGTAATTGTCACTATCACGTACGAACGCTAACATATAAAAGAGGGATACGTCAGTGCTATTACAAGGAGAAATTACACAGCCACAACATTGACAACACACTTACATAAATATCAGAAATTTTTTGGAGTTCTGATTGTATATTTCCTAAAGTTGATAATACCCTTCCTGCACAGAGAAAATGTGTGAAGATAAAGTGTATAATTAAAAAATGTTGCAGGGCCAGCAACTTATATGCTGAATATCGAAATTGATGGAGAAATGATGTGTACTTTAAGGCTTCAAAAGAGCTCTACCATCCGGGTAGAAACAATAACAGAGCGGTGGTCCCCCTGGTAGGGGGAATGTTGGGTGACAAAAACAAGATATGCTGATTCCATACCAGATGTCTTCCCAAACTGAATGATGATAGAAATTTTAATAGCGCTTTGCATTATTCAGCAAGATTCCCTGGCTTACAGACTTGGTTAAGATCTTTTTGCCTATTCGAGTTAAGACTGGTTTAACAACCAAGAAGGGTTTGGTGAGGAGGTAAGAACGGCATAGTATGTCACAAATCTTTCTCCTTAAACTCAGATTCAAAACATGAACGTTTCAAGTTAATAGCTGCAACCTTCTTTAAGCATCAATCATTTCTGTTATAATAACAATACAACACTCTATAGGCCAATTCAGTACTTCTCCATTTATTCTCAAATATTATTCTAGTTTAGTAGTTTTCTGCTCTAAGGTACAATCCATTATATTTCTTAAACACAGTCGATATCATTGTTAATCGCTTCTTTGATTAGGGTTTATCATAACAAGATTCATCTCTTCTACCTCGCACAAAGAGTGAAGTGAGCTGCTTCTAGCATATGCTTCGAAGCAGCCGAACAAGGGTGCTCACCTTTTTGAAAAAATCCCTCGGGGTAGGTGTTAGATGTTAGTCGTCACCTTTTGGTAATATCACAGCATCCGTATGTATAAACCACGGACGTATGCACAACTGAGATCAGACAGAGTTGTTGGCTGTCTACTTAGAAAAAGTCTACTCCCTTGCCCAGTCCTAGGACCGACTACCCATACGCATGATCCAAGTATACTCACTAAATATGCACCATTTTCTGAATGATAGTGACGATATAACTCAAATTCATAGATTGTTCTTGCCTTCACATGCATGTCATCTGCTCATAAGTAACCAAGCTCAAATGTCATACATCACAAAAAAAATTATTACCGCTTTCACCATCAGCATCAGATGTAGTTTTATCCAGCAAACATGTCCCCATTTCATGTAGTGACTCTGAAAATTCTGAAATACAAAAAATTTATGGGACTTCTTTATTTGCATACAGAAAGAAAAAATTACAAGTTATTGATAGAGAAGCATTCAGATGGAATTTAACTTCATGACGAGATGGGTAGACAATATGGCATATGCAACTGTAATAATAAAATAAGTAGTCAATTCACAAGGATTTAACAACGTACGATACTGAAAGATGCCTGGGCTCAGCAAGCATAAATAAACCAAATTGGAAAGTTCTCATTTTGGGAAAGTTTGATAAGACATTATCTTTTGGTTATTCTTATAAGCTAATGTCCAGCAATATTAATAGACAATTTCACATGCTCCGAATTTCCAGAAGTCCCGTGAACTTGAATGCGTTGATATAAGATACCCCAGCAGATGAAATTGGTTCTATTACCAAGATATGGAGTAAAAAATATAGTTTTTTGAGTTCACAAAAAAAATTCTCCTGCAATTACTATTCCTATGCCATTGGCAGGGAAGAGTACATATTGACTATTTCACAAAGGCACCCCTCAGCACAATATTCCTGATATTCTGCATAGTCTTCATGTCTTATTTATATTTAGATTTAGGCTGTTACCATCGAATGGTTTAGAGCTCTGGTGGAACACACATCTGCCTCTTTGCACCTTATTAAATTTACACCAGAGCTCTAAACCACTCAAATGTTCTCACTTAGCCTTCCACAGATAGTCATGTAATTTCTTGTGGAAAGGCTCATACCATGCCTAAGACAACTTCTTGGAACACACATCTGCCTCTTTGCAGCAAAATTTACAGGGGGCAAAGAGGGAGATGTATGTTCCAAGAAGTTGTCTTGTACATGGAATGAGCCCTGCCAAAAGAAAGTATATGAATATGACTATCTGTTGAAAGCTAAGTGTGAACACTTGAGTGCTAAAAAGGTGATAAGCTGGCAGATAGCCAAAAGTGTATCTCATAAAAAGGATGGGAAGCATGGAGTGTGATACCTATTGTGCAATATCCAGAAGACTAAAAGTTTCGAACGAGATAATTTATTGATCAAGTTAGAATCAAAATAAAATGTCCACTCGTGATATTCCAACCACTGGCTCTTAGCAAATTAGATACTATTTAAATGATGCTAGCTGAAAGAAAACAGAAAACAACACCGTGTTACATGAAGCATTCTAAAAGATTTCATACCTATAGTGAAATAACATGTAATGGGTACTCGAATGCATCCATTATAGAAACACAATTACAGGTTAACATCCCCAAAGGGGATCGTATTTGTAAGATCTTTTAACTGGTTGTTCTTGTGAAGAATGTAACAAAACATGCCATTTGCATAACACTTACCGAATATACTATTAGTCATTGCAGCAGCAGCAGATATTAAGCCATCATAGCAGTTTCTAATATCTTGCATATCCTGCAAAAGAATCAAAATGGTCAAGCAATTGACCTTACACTTCCAACAAAATTTAGGCTATTCGATACTTCTCCTCTCTCACGATCAGATTCCACCGTTCATGGTTTTGTGAAGATGGAAGAAAACTTCCTATCATGAACGGTCATTTGATCGCATTGGGTCGTTCTATAGTTAATAGGATTCTTCTTAATCTTCCATCTTTCTGCAAACTGTAATCTATTGGTGGAGTAGAGAGAATGTAATACAATCAGTGAACAATGTGCAGTTATACTTCACCCCTAATGAGAAGAAAACTACTATGGAGAAAAGTTATGCGAAACCCTAATCAACTGTCACTTGATTCGCACTGGGAATTCGAGTATGGAAAAACAGAGGCAGTATATAAAAGTCAATAAAAACATAAAAATCCCTACCTTGGAAGCCTGAACAACGTCGTCTAATAGGGCGGAAGGCTGATGATCCCTCTTCTCCTTCCCATCGTTCTTGTGCATAGTTAATTTGCGCCCAAACTTCTCCAGTGACGACTTCATTTTTCCACAACACTTTAAAACTCAAAACCACTGGCGATTACACTATATCCACAGCGACAAAGGTGCAGGAAAATGTAACAAAATCGAGATTTATATGAGATGATGTTTACAATCTTCGATTCCAATGGATTGATGGGCAAGTCTGCGTGAGTATGTGCTTGGTAAAACAGAAAAATCATCGAAAGAAAGGAGAATTATAGTAGAAAAATGGATCGCAGTCGCAATCGCAGTCAAGAAATTCTAGCGTTACGAATCAGGGAAGGTGATGGAAATTTCGGCAAGTTCAACAAAAAAAAAAATGGAAGCTGCACAGGACTCGATGCTTCCTGCGTTGAACCTTGACCATTTTGTAGGTTTCATAAACTTGTGCCCTTTTTTTCCTTCTATTTTCAAGTATCTTTACCAATATATAAATACAATTACTTTGATTTAATTCAATTATTACATTTTTTTAATAGAATCAAAAAGTCAAAAATCCTAAAGAAAAATTATCTCATCTCCAGTGACTTTCCTATTTTAAATTAAAATATTATTTGTATAATACAACAAGATACATCTCGATTTTATTATTATTACATTTTTATGTCGATATAATACGGTTTTATATGGTTTGACAAAAGAATAATCTTTTTATTTTTTAATAAAATATAAATTTGATATATATATATATATATATATATATATTCGTATCAAATTAACTATTTAAAAGCTCTTGTTTTTTGTATAATTTCTTTAATTTATTTTTCTATTATAATTTAATTTAAGTTTAATAACGAAGTAATTTATTTTTGTGGTTTAATAATATAATTTTTTACAAAGATAATAATCAAGTATTCTATTAAAACTCAATTATTGTCCGAATTATATTTTAGATTTTCATCTTGTATTTGATTATGTTTATCTGTAGTTAGTTACATGGATTCAAAAATGGATCTATAATAACTTGTATTTACACACAATTTACTTGTAATGTTGAATCTTAAGTAATATGCATTAATAAACAATATCTTATGTATAAAAAAATTATTTTTAAGAGATTTTATCAAATGTTTTATAATATAGTATATATAGCACATATTAATTATATTATTGAAGATATTTAATACAATTAATAAAATATTATTTAGATACATCATATAATTATTATGCTTGGAGAATATACATTTATAAATTTAGATTCTGTAAAATTATTACATTTTTCAAGTGTATCTCCAACATAATTAAAAGTCAACGTTTTTACATAATATCTATTTCATCTTCAACAACTTCTCCATTTTGGAGAATACATTATTAATTATGTTATTAAAATATTCAATACATTTAATAAAATATCATTTAGAAAATATAACTTAAATACATATAATTGTTACACTTCGAGAATGCATTAATAACTTAGATTTGTATAATTATTACATTTTTTAAGAGTATCTTCAACAGAATCAAAAGTCAAAATATTAAAATATATTATTAAATGTAATTAATAAAATATTATTTAGATACATATAGTTATTACATTTGGATAATACATTAATTATATTAAAGCATCTTCAACAACTATGCTAAAATGGAGAAAATAGGAATTTTAACATTTATGTTAATTCAACAGCTAAGCTAAAATAAAGAAGAGAGAGATTATAAAAATCTCTAAAACCATATAGAAGAGAGAGAAACTATATTTTAATTATATCCAACCAGTTAAAGTTAAATGTGTAATAGATAAAAATAATATTTTATTAAATGTATTGCATATTTTAATAATATAGTTAATGATAAAATTGCTAAAATAGAATAGCTGTCGGAGTTTAATATAATTCCTTTTAGAAATTTTGGCTTTTCATACTCTATTATAGAAAAATTATTGCATAGGTTCTTAAAGATGTTTAGATTCGTATAATTATTACACTTTCCAAAAAGTATCTTCAATAAAATCAAAAGTCAAAATTTTCAATGAAGATTTACTCTTCAACAACTTCTCTCTTTTGGAGAATGCATTACAGAAAATCCGTTTGAGTAAAAAAAAATGAAATCTCTATTTTAAAATTTTGTTAAAGATGCTCTAATTAAATAAATGATGCTTTTACCCGTAATAATGGATAGATAAAAAAAATTATATATCATAATTAAAAATAAAATAAAAATAGACATTTATTTTGAGACGAATGATATATTTATTAACACAACAAAAAATGAAATTAATGTAAAGGGTCGTTTACCAAACACTTACCCGATAAGTGTTTATTGGTAAAATTTAACACTATTATTTATTTATCGGGTCAGAATTAGTCCACCAAAACGACATCGTATGCAACAATTTACATGGTAAGCGCTTACCATGGTAAGAGTCGTCGCCCTCACTTACCGGGTAAGACTATTGGTCCTTGTCTTGCTCTTACCGGGTAAGATTCTTGGCCCTTGTCATATTCATCCGTTGAGGTAATGTTACTTGATAAGCACTTACTCGGGTAAACGTTTGGTAAACGACCCCTAAGTATCTCTAACAGAATCTTTATAAATAAAAAATTAAACGATAATAAAAGTTAAAATTTCTAAAATAAATTATATTTAGATCCAATAGATTCTATATTTTAAACGGAAAAGTCTAAAAAAATCCAACGGACTTTATTGTTTTGAATGATTAAGTTATTGAACAATTTTTTGGAACAAATAAATCATTGGACATTTCAAAACATGTTAAATAAATCCTTGAACTTTTTAAAACCTATTAGATACATTCTTATGATCTATAAAACTTATTAATGTGAAAAAATAAGGGGGAAATTTGGAAGGAAAAAAAACCCAATGAACTTTCATATTTTCAGCGTTTAAGTCTCTAAATATTTTTTCAATAAAAAAGTATTTACATATATAAAATGAAACAAATATACCACAAAAGTACCTACATTTAAAAAAAATTATTGATGAAATATATTTTGATTAAAAATAAAAAATATTTTGTCAGTAATTTTTCAAATTAAAAAATAAAAAAAGATTTTAAAAAGTATTAATGATTATATTTTTTAATTAAAAATAAAATATATTCCGTATATGATATCTCAAATTAAAAAAAGTTTTAAAAAAGATTACCTATGAAATTTATTTTATTTAAAAATAAAAATATATTTTATTTTTAATTAAAATAAATTTCATCATTAATCTTTTAAGTTTTTTTTATTTGAAAAATCACATACAAGGTATATTTTATTTTTAATTAAAATAAATTTAA